CCCCCCCCCCCATTAAACTTTCAAAATAGAAATAGATCCTATGCAGGAGCCCAGTGGAGGGAGCACACCCATAGTGGAGTGACATACAGGCTTTCCCAGCCTGCAGGGACTGCTGAATAAGCAGACTGGAGGTGTCAGGGCTGGAGGCTCCAGGCCACCATGTACTTGGGCTGAAATGAGCTCTCCCTGAAATAAGGTCTCTGAGTCCTAAAAGTAGGATGACGCAGCCACTACATCTTAACAGCAGATGAGTTTATTCAACATTTTAAATTAAATTAATTTTACCAACACTATTCATAGAATAAAAATAGTTAATTGTAACACTTTTGGGTTTCATCTCCTTAAAAACTCCCAAGAACTCCATAAAAGAGGTATCAGTGTTATGGCCATTTCACAGATCAGCAAACTATGGCCCAGAGAAGTTCAGTAACTTACCCAAAGTCACACAACGTAGTGACTTTAGGACGTAGAGGAGATGGAATGTGAATTTCATCAGTCCAATTCCAAAGCCTATGCTTAATCATTTATACTAAATACATAAGGCCTAGTTAAATAATGGTTCTATTGTGTTCTAATCATTAGGAACAAAAGAGCTTTTAGGTAGGTTTCTCTGTACTTCAGAGTTGCCAAATTCTTGCCAATCTTTTATCTTCCCCACAGCACACAACTTTGTACTAGACACCATTGCTTATCATTTATGTTGATTCATAAGAAACATGTAAGGAAACATTATGCTGGACCCGTACTAATGAAAGAAAATTGATGGAGGGAGAGAGCAAGAGACACGCTGGATGGGTCGGCTGGTATGGCTGGCACTTTGTGGGTCTGTCTCTTTCTCTTCCTTTCTCTCTCTGTCTCTGTCTCTGTGTGTGTGAGCATGTGTGTGTGTGTGTGTGTGTGTGTGTGTGTGTGTGTGTGTGTGTGAAGCCTTTCTGCATCTTAGTATGTCTCTATCTTAACCTAGAGCCTGGTGCATGTCAAGCAACTAGCAACAGAGCCTGTTGTTATTGTTTCTATTTTTCTTCACAGTATCTTATTTGCCTTTAGATTCTCAGAATCTAGCACAGTCCTTGGCACATAGTTGGAGGTCAAAGTATGCTCGGAGCAACAAGGTAAAAACATACTGAGACACACACGGGAAGACATAAGACAGAGAGAAATACAGCATGGGAGAGTCAGAGACAGAGAGACTGAGAGAAATACAGACACCAGGGAGGAAGGAAGAGAGGCAGACAGGTGGACAGACTGACAGACATGCCAGTCAGCCCACCAACCAAGTCTCCTGCTCTTTCTGTCTAAATTTGCCTTCACTAGTATGGGTCCAATACATTCCCTTAAACTTATTTCATATAAGTCAACACAGAAAAAGAACAAGGAATTACTGAAACAAGGTCTCTGAGTCCTAAAAGCATTCTCCATCCCACTGCAGGCTTCCTGTGCTAGAGGGGAGCTGAGAAAGAGGAGCGGTTGGTGCCCACATCTGGTATGTCACACAGCAGTGGCCGGCTGGCCGGTGCTCCCCAAGGCAAGGAGCAAGTTCAGAAGCAAGTTCAATCAGGTCCAGGCCATGCAGACCCTGACCTTCAGCTCATTCACAGAAGCCTCCTAAATCCAATGAGAACACCCATTTCCCTCCATAGCAGAGCTACTGGGCAACGCTACAGGGATTTCCTCCACAAATAGAAAGGGCAAACTCTTATCCTCACGTCAAAGGAAGAAACAGCCCAGTCCCCAAAAGGAGATATTCTACCCAGTCAGGAGGACACCCAGGTCCTCTCTTTGCTCTGTTGGCCTTCAGTACAATACTGCCTGTAAATTGTGAGCTCCTTAAAACCTGTCTTCAACACACTTTGATAAAACAGGGTGAGTCTGGATGAGGTCACATTTGGAACAAGGAGACCTTCAAGGACCAGGGCTTGAGCACATCACTGTGCAGTCAGCATCTTTCTCTCATATGATGCCAGAGACAGACTGAATCATGGGGAAAGAACTGAAGATCACCAGGGTTCTATGCTTGAAATTTCTACACTACTAACCACCCCTAACTCCCTTAACAACCGCTCACAGCACTTGTCAGATGGCATGAGAAGAAAGAGGAGGTTTCCAATAGGATGCTGTGCTGATTTCAACTGCCTGGCATGATCTCTTCTTTGCAGTCAGCAGGCTGGGACAGCATCCTTCTGCTCCCTGAGAACAGACCCTGTGCCTCCTCGTCTGCTCAGGGTCACCTTCCTGCTCCCTCCTACTGCTTCTGGGCACCATCATGCAGGCAGATGAGACCGGCTAATTTTGGCCACAGAGGTGCTGTCCACCATGTCACTTGGCTGTCCCAAGTCCTATAGCTCCAGATGTTACACAAACCTGGGATCTCTCCTCTGCCCTCCAAATGAAACCCATTTTAGCTTATGGGCAAACAATAGCTGATTTGAAATAGGAATCCAAAACACTGTGGACCCCGACAAAAATCAGAATTTAATGGGGGCCTCTCACCCTCATACCTCTTCATTTCATTTCATTTCAGAACCACCCATGAGCAAGGAGTTGCTCAGCCTGCCACCTCATTACAGATCTCAGCAGAAGGAACCACTCAAGTCAACAAACAGATCATTTGCTTTCATTTCTAAAGAAGTACAGCTAATTTGGGAGGTGGATGGTGGTAATGGTTGCACAACAATGTGAATGGACTTGATGTCACTGAACTATACATTATACATTTTTAAATAGTTTAAATGGTAAGTTTTATGTTATGTATATTTTATCATAGTTTTTAAAAATTAAAAAAGAATAAATTGAACACAACATTTAAAAAAAGTACAGCTAAATCCCAGGTAGCTTAATGATCACTGATTTAGTATTATTATATTATTTTTAAAGATAATCTTGGTAGTACAGAAAGTACAGCTTCGAGAGTTTATGAAAATCAAAAGCAGGGAAACATATGCTTTAACATCAAAAATGCCCTTAAACCAAAAGTCAATGCACTCTCTCTGCTTTATGAGTATTGTCCATGAGTAAAATTTTCTAAAGAATGTCACTAAGCTTTTCTTTTAGAAACCGGTTGTTCCACAATTGTAGCTTGGAGAACATTCAGATCACAGGAGTGGCTTATAAGGATTTCCTGCTTTCCCTTAACAATAATGCATTCAACAGTTTGTTCTCAGAAATGTCAACAGACAGAGTTCCCCAGTAATGTAAGCAGAAAACATTATTTGCTTTTGCAGATGGTAAAATTAAGGCATGGGAAATCAAAGACTGTGCTGAGATCATTCCATGAGAAGAGAAGTGCAGAATCTATGTTCTGAGGGCCTGGCCCAGAGGCCACTCTTTCTCTGCCTTTTGGCTTAGGATCATTTAAGAGACAAAGGTCACTCACTGTAAATTAATTAATTCCAATAAATATCCACCCACACAATCACCTACTCTTTTGAATCCTGCCTACTGCCTCACTCTCCCCAAGGGGAGTCCAGCACAGTTCGCATTCGGCTTCTGTTACTTGCCACCAGAAGAGTACTGACTGATAGAGAGGTTCTCTCACTCCTGGCTCACATCCTCTCTCTCTCTCT